CATTGAGCGAGAAAAGATTTATGTGTGCTGCCCTGCCTTCATGTTTCATGATATATACTATGAATATGTATGTATATATATAATATTGAAATGCACATAATAATAACAATGACAATATATGTCGGTAATTATGAATGAACATCTAGCATCATCAAGTGGGTGTTCCGACCTCACCATTGACGACACCAGATCGTGATTCAGCCTCCCATGCAGCAGTTTTTTGGGCTGCAGTCTGCATTTATGGTCCGACACTGCTTCTTCCAACTGTTTAAACATGCCAGCCGGAGAAGAGGTCGACCACGGCGAACCCATGGCGAACAAACGGCGAACGCACCCCACGGCAGAACGTGCTCGCAGCCACCTGGAAAAATGTCTCGCTCGCAGAGAAAGGCTTGCAGTTCAGGGCCCCCCCGGTCCAGGTTTCCGGGTCGTACTCTTTCAGGAACCATGACCACTGTGAAGCACAGGGGGTTTTCAGGAACCATGACCACTGGCAGAGTAAAGTATATATATATATATATAGTTGTGTGTGTGTTTCTTGGCCACTCAGTGCATCCAATGAGTGAATGACTGGAACGGAGGGTTTTGCGTCAGTGTTTGCCATATTTTGCCATTTGGGCTGATGGGTGTTTTGTTGAGGTCAACTTCGGCCTTAGATCGATCCTCACAGTTCTCAAGTCTCCCATCTCTCCCAGGTACTGAGCACCATCTGTTGGAGCTTCCCCTCCCACACCTGAAAACCACTACTGTAGGTGTCGAGGAACCGGGTCAATTCTCAAGGTCCCTAGGTAGAACCCTGGATCTGCTGGATTTGGCGTACTCCGGTTGCCCTTTGCTGGACCCGGAGAGGAGTGAACTGGACGGATCTGTTTGGCATCCTCATGATCCCGGATCCGTTTGGTCCGGAAGATCCCGGAGTCTCCCAAGCCAAATTACAGGAGGGGAACATCTGGGGCGATCCCTGGGGCTTCCCCTCCTGCAGATTATGTTTGTTAAGCGTGGTGCAAAATTACAGATCAAACATAGATCAACATAGTACTGTAGATGTCAGATCCCACGTCCACCGGCCGTCTGGACGGAAAAAACCGTTCCAGGACGAGGAAGCGATGGACCGTGTGATGTGGACTCCAGTGGTGGCTTGGACTCGTGAAAGAGGCTGAGAAGCTGTTCATACCATTGGCAGAACAGTCCCACATGAACACCCAGAAGAGTAGGTATCATTTGGAGGCAATGCAAAGGTATCTGTCCAGTCCCATGGAGATTGATGGGGTGTTAGATATATATATATAGTTTAGGAATCCATGTTTTGCGGACTTCATGAACCGATGGGTCCACATTAAAACAAGACTCATTCACGAGCCATGGCCAGGAAACATCAGTGAACATATGAACATCCATCCCCAACAGGGACTGAAAATTCACTCTTGTACTCACACGTACTATGCTTATACTATGCTTCTCATTGCTGTAACCCTGTGTCTCAGCGCCGATCACGGCGTCGTGGGACCAAATTCCAATTCCAACCTCTTCCCAGAAATACGACTCCTTCACCCTGAGAATGTCCATTTCTTCATCGATCCTATGCCCCGACAAAAAACGGTGGACAGATGGATCCTCCGCCTCGGCGGATGGCTTCGGCGAATGGATTCGGCAGCGACGCAGGTGGGTTCCTCTGCTCAGCAGGCGATCTCCGCCTTGCGCAGCTCGGCCGATCACGGCGGGAGGGCAGATGGAGGGCAGACGGAAGGCGGCGTTGGATCTGAGGATGTTCCTTGGGTGACTTCTCCATCAACTTGGGTGACTTCATAGACATAATCACTGTACAAACAACACATAGTTTTTTTGGTGGAACAGAATGGACCTGAATACCCTTACAGTGCATGGGATTGAAGGATGTCAGTTAGGATTCTTGGTATGGTTTCTTCACGTTCTTCACTTTAAACATGGCTGGGACTGGGACATCAGCCACTTACGAAAACGCGCATCATCCACAAAAACCACCCCTCGTCGACGCATGGGGTTTCTCATGCAAATCACGACGTCTTTGCAGATCGGAGTTACTTTCCGAACTCATCGCAGAAGTTCTGAACCCTGACCCCTAAAACCAAAGACCATGAAATTCCTCAGGCCACTGGGTTGCGGCTTCCACCGCAGAATTCTTCAGGTCCGAAGCCACTAACGTGAGGATTTTAAGGATTGTAACCAGAACTGAGCTAAGTGGCCTACATGTATCCTCGATTCAGTTCTGATGTCTGACCAAACCAGAAGGCTTTGGAAGGCTCCTGTCAGACTTTCAGCATGCAATCTCAGAGCTTAGACCCTCACCGGTGTTCTCTCGTTCTGGCGCACCTCACATCCCAACCACATCTCATATCCCAACTGTTGGAGTGAAAAGGATAATCATTCTTCCACCGAAACCGACACCGCACCGTTGGCCCTCCTCTCCTCCCTCAGATGCCCCTCCTCGACACCAAGTCTCCCGCGATCCGATGCCTTTGGTGGGTCCAGGTGATGCCTTTGGCGTGCTTGGTGTTTGGCCCGCGGCCTGGCTGGCGGCGCAACGGGTGCGGAGCTTTCTCCGCGGTGTCCGGGATGTGTTTGGGCAGGAGGTGTTTGGGCAGGATGAAGGACCGAGCTAAGCCCAGTCCAAAGCACTGGAATGGGTGTTTTCAACTAGCAGACATCTTTTTTTCCAAATGGGGTCAGATCGTCAGATCATATCTGATAGCGAAGAAGGGGAGGTTCTAGGCCCAAGACATCCTAAGATTACATCATGCCGTGCAGACCTTTCCAGGTCTTTTTCACAGACAGGAACTGGGCACCCTTCGGTTTAGCTTGCATGGCCAAGAAAGTTAGGGGATGACTCTTCGGACCATAAATTGGGTGTATCACACCAGGCCGTTCTCTTCTGTACTCGCTGCGGGTCATGACACCGGGGAACCCTGCGAACCACCACGGTTTCAATGAACAGAGCGTCGACTACCCGAGAGGTGAACCTACCCGGTTTTCGGACTCCGGGCTTTGAGCCACAGCCTACTTCAGGATGTGTTATCCAGCTAGTGAAGCCCTTGGAAGCCCAGGCCGTACAGGTGTTTTTTGACGTGCGCTTCGCAGATGCAATTCTGGCCATCATAATATGGCCGGGAATATATATCTACTGAACCCATAGGATCGCACGCGTCGATTCATTCACCGTCTTAGACGAGTTCGTCGTCGTTGCAGCTTTGCTTTCCAGCTCGATCAGCACGCCAGGTGATGCGGATCTGCCAGAGGTGGGGCGGAAATCAACGCCTTCTGCCGACTCGCTTCTTTTCGAAGTGCAGGAACCGGAACTCAAGCTCCGGTGGCTCTCAGTACGTGGCTCCTCGCTTTTGGTTTGGGCTCCTCAAGTGTTGGTGAATCCATATGAATCCAAAGAAGAGCACAGTCTGATGTCCTCCAATAGCGGATCCTGATGTGAGAGAGGATGGCCTCGACCATTTTTCTCCGAAAGATCACGGTCTGACATCGTGGATTCGACTTTGGGTCCGACGTCGAGATGCACTGCACCACAGACGTTTGTATTCGAAGCCCAAAGTCCCAAAGCATTCCAAAACCATCTGTCATTTGACTCAATGAATTCATGACGCATGACCCGGACCCAAAGCAGATCTACACCTCTTTTGAGCCACCATCCAGGCTTGTTGGAGTTTTGCTCACGTTCCTCGCCCGCCCAAGCTGTGAGCCGAACACCACGGCCGACTGCGCGCAGTGACCCGCGGCAGGGGCGGACCCGGACGACCCCTTCGCATGTTAGCTCCTCGGAAGCGGAACCGCAGAACCGACCGGGTGCGGAGGTGCTTGGTGTTGCGGCCGCGTTTGGTTGTGGTCCATGGGGAGGGGGAGATGCACCGTGCGCATGGAAATGGAAATGGGGGGAGGAGCCTTACTGGACCTGTTGGGAGGTATGCACTTGGCTCAGACAGCAGCTCTGGTTCGGTGATTTGTAGCTGCCATAAACATGATTAAACATGAGCGATTTCTCTCTCAAGAGATGGGTGCATCGTCGTTTTCAATCAGATTTTTGTTTGGGAAAAACACGAGTCGGATGCCAAATTTTTCGTTGTTCATCGTGTCAGTCAAACATCGTTTTGACTCTGGGGCTTGAAATTGTGTTTTCATGTGTTTTCATCATGGAAAAGAACCATAAAACTCGCAAGGAAATCTCTTATAATATCTTATAATTACCGAAGCTCTGATTTTACCAGTATTTATGTATTAAATGTAAACATACTAACCAGTGTTTAAGACCAAACGACAAGCCCCAGCAAGAGAGCTGGTTAGCTCGTCTGCATGTTTTAAGACGATGTGCCCGGGGGTGATGGGTCCACTCATGCGGTCGGACGAAGAATAAAGGATACAGACGGATCCGCACCTGTAGACCTGGTGAAATGTTGAGACACTACCAGCAAGCACGCCATACCATAACCATGAATGAGTATCTGGTCGCTGAACACTTCTGAGGAACTGGGCTGTGGTTCTGGGCTACCCTCCTTGTGCGCCTTAGCCTTAGGCGCGGGGTGGGAGAGTTACAGTTGCCCTAGTTTCCTCCGTTTTGCGGATCCGCATGCCATCTGAGTTTGGGACACCAGTAGATGGAGAGCGCAGTCCTGGTGATAGGTGAGTCGTTGGAGTCTGGAGTGCCACTTGGACGAAGCCAAATGCGCCATGCTGCACCGCGCGACCAGAGAAGAAGCATGACAGTCGGTGAGAACAGGTGAGGACTCCATATCATCTCGCTGCAAGGGGCTGGGACGTGCAGCGGTTTGGGGAGTTTTGGGCATCATCTACTAGGCGCATCAAACACGTGGATCCTTCTGCCTTCCCACACGAGTTGACCATCTTAGTCGTCCTTTGGAGCTGCCTGGAGTACGACCGTGCAGACACATTGGAACCATCGACATCGAAAGTGTCATGTCACTGGTGTCGACCGCCAGGTGTCGACCGGTCCTAGACGCGCCAGGTGTCGAGGTCGTCGCGACCGACTTAGAAGAGCTGCCGTTGCTCTTGCTGAAGGCACCCAGAGATCTCGGCTGCCATGGCTCTTTCGTGGAAGGTTTTGAACTATACTATTTACTGTATATAGATCTATATAGTGATAAAGACTGAGCTCCTGTCTCCTGTCAGAAGCTGGCATAGTCGTGACTCTGGGGTGTGCGAGCCTAGCGTGCAGGTGGGCTGAGTTTGTGCTTTGAAAACACCACGAACTCGTTCGGCCTGGGCCAACCCGGAGGCCGCCTACGACGCCCAAGAGCTTCCGGGCCACTTAGAGGTTCAACAGGCCCACGCCTGAGCGGAGATTCGCCACGTGGCGCGGTGGGTCTTGTATCACCCCCTGAGATCAGCAGCGGTTTGGGTGACTAGAATACTAGGTGATGGTTTCGGATACTTCTATTTTCAACCCTTACTTGGGGATGATGGGACCCTTTGACTAATATTTTTCAAGTTGGTTGAAAACACCAAGCAGAATAGTTTAGTATATGTTTGTTGAAGAGACTGTATTAAAGTACCAGGTCTTTGCAGATCTCGGAACCTTTGTGGGGCTTGTTGAAAATGATTAGTGAATGATTGGTTGCTGCCTGGTTGGTTGATTGGGTAGCGGGGACTGATGTCACTCCAGAATCCATGCTGTTCGTCATGATTTGTTCCAGCAATGTTTCTTCCCCACATTTGCCCGTCCATAGGATGGAATGCTATGTGGGGCTGGACTCAAGATTGTTCGGAACTGTGTAGATTTGTTCGCTCTTCAGCAGTTTGTTGAGATTGTTGCCATCGCGAGGCGCAGGTGGATGGTATCAAAATTTATCACAAAATAAAAAGAAGATACACTTGTACCTCTAGAGACATGATGTCTTTTTTTGGTGGAATAGTTTAAAACATTTTGAACGCATTGCTTAGATTCAGAACACACTGGAACCCCCGCCTTGGTGTAATTCCTCATTCTGCAATTTCAATGCTAGATTGACACTTCGCTAAGCCACAATAGTATTTGTGGTGATTGCGCAATTTAGCATGTTGGAGGCGTGCTAGTGATGATCCTTACAAGATTCCATTCGGCAGACCCTAGTGCTCAGCTTGAGCACGTTGTGGAAACCTCTTGTGAGTTATCCACCGTCCTGC